AGAAATTCTTTGAAAAACTAGTGTTATTGCTTATTCATGAATGTGCTAGATGCGATGTGAAATGTGTTAGCCATGTGAAGCTTGTCAGGCTTCTGGCAGTCACTGGGACTCAAAACATACCTATGGAGATGTGGAAATAAGCCGATTGTAACATCCAGGTTGACCTTGAACGCCAAAGTGTCAAAGGCGTATTGGATACAGAAAGCAGGAAAGGATGAGGGAAGGAGGCAAAAATGAGATAAAATGTTTGGTCCATTAAGTCATATACGTCTTAACTCAACACTGCGACCGGGCCTCGTCAGTATGACAGCGGCAGCGTTTAATGAAAAAGAAGAGGTCAAGAAAGATGCAAGAAAAGGAAGGGAGGGGCTATGATTGTGATGTTAAGGGAGTGAGAATGAGGTGAAGAAGGAGTAGATGAAGGTAGACGAGGTTTAAAAAGGATTATAAAAGGATTTAAAAGAGTTTCAAAGAAAGGATTTTTACAAGAGATTTAAAAGTAAAAGGTCTAGAAAAGCAAAAGTAACGAACCTCGATCGTGGAGGTCCTGTTGCTGGAGGAATTATTCGAAACGCCATCATCGCTGCAATTTTTACTTCTTTTTCATAAGTTAAACTTCCGTCTTAACAATAATAATAGCTCTGAGCGAAGACTTAGTATGGTCCCTTCCAGTGCTACTATGCTGATAAAAAACAAGTTGCTGCGGACACACACACAAACACGCACAGACAAACATACACACAGACAACCCCGTGACAATATGTGTTTTGTACTGCTATTACACAGCACACGACGCATAAAAAAAGGGCATTTTTATTACTGTTATTTATCGCGTGACACACATTTACAGCGAACTTTGCAAGAAGCAAGTGATGAAAGAAGCAAAAGAATCGCAAGATATGTCGCTGTTTCGTCGGGCACTTCTGACGCAATGTCAGATTACGTTCGAAGAAAAGAAATACACAAATGCAATAAATGCAAAAAAGAAGGAAGTGGATATGGAGAAAGATGTAAGTTACACCCGGCCCGCTGTGCGTTTTTCACATACTTTACATAGCAAAAAGCATATTGTCGAGAGGTTCTCTGTGATTGTATGTGTGTGTCTGTCTGTGTGTGCGTCTGTATCGATTTTTCATTTCGAAACCTACAAAAGCTAGAAGGCTGAAACTTTGGTAACTTAATCTGCACGCATGTACGTGCCCCTATCCCCAAAATGGGCATCCTTACCTGCGTGGTTCCCACGTACAGACCCGTTAAAGTTTTTGTCGGGTAGGTTGCTAACTTAGGAACCAGAAAAGCTAGAAAGCTGAAATTTCATTTCCTGTTTGGATAGAACTTAATGATTTCAAACTCAGCCCCCAGGTGTGCGTGGTTACCACATACGGGCGAACGAGAATTCTTGGCGGGTAAGTTGCTAACACAAGAAGGAGCAAAGCTAGAAGGCTGAAATTTTAAGCGGATGTTCTCCGTCCATGTAAAACATAATGACTTCAGATTCTGTGCCCAGTTATGCATGGCAATTACGTACGGGCATGTGAAAGCTTCTGGCGGGTAAATTGCTAACACTGGAACCAGAGAAGTTAGGGAGCTGAAATTTCAAGGGGATGTTTTGTGACAGTCGTGGTGGCCAGTCTCGATTCTTTCAGCTAGAAGCATCTGTCAGTAAAAAACAGAGCAAGTGAAAAAACTTGCCGGGAACTGTGCAGGAAACGCACCATCACATCGTCGGTTGGTGCGATGGCCAGTTATTTGAAAACCTATTAGATTTTTCCTTCACGACTCACATAAAATTATTTACTAGAGATCCGTTGTTCGGGCTGTTCCATTGCAGTTCTTGTCCAAGATTAGTGTCGAGGCTTAGCGTATACGAAGATCACTAGATCCGTACCCTAAGCTGCGTAGTTGGGGATTCTCGGATAAGCTTAATTTGAGAATTTTATATAAGGAAGTATATTGACAGAAAGGTATATAAACAGCGGATGAAAAGAGAGGAGCAAAAAGGGAAGGTAAGAGAATGAGAATTACAAAATTTGCAAATTAATAGAATTATTTTAATGGTAAGAAATGTTTCGGTCCTCACATGGTCCTTGACTGCAGCAGCGGAAGACAGGAAAGAATACCAGCACTTTATTTTTCCGACAAGGGCTTCGCTTCAAATAAAACGATGAGCCGGGACGCCGCACAAGCTGTTCAGCAGAAGGAGGACACTGGTGGTGTTAAGGCGAACAGCTAGTGGCATTAGCTGTGGCAGGACATAGCGGTTCAATGGCGCCTGTTGATTCCCCAAAACTAAGGGCCTGGGCCCTAGGAAGGGGTTTATATAGGGAAAATTAATAAAGGGAAAGGAGGGCAAGTTAGTTAGTGAGTGAGAAGATAGGTAATATGGATTAGAATTTGATGGAACTGTTAGAGAAATTAGTGAGTGGAGGGAGGTAGGTCGAAGTTTTAAGGATTAGTGAGAGGTGG